TGTGATGTAGGTCTGTGCTGGAGAGAGAAAATTAATTGCATTTACTGTATTTCAAAATATGAAGGGGCAGGAAAAAACCCTAAAAATCACCATGAATGTCACTGTCTGGTGTAATTTGCCATAGAACAAGAGCTTACAAAAAAAAGATTAAATGTCACACTCTTTGCTGCTTTATGGTGTTGGGAGTCTAAAGTGTAGAGAGAAAATGCACTTTAGAAGCGGGTGAAATGCAGGATTTATGGAGCACTGCCAAGACTTCCACAACACAAACCCAAATATATTTCTTAGCACCTTTAGGAGGGAGACTGGATGTTCCTGTAGGGTTGGGAGTGGCGGCTAAAGAAGGAATAACCGTTTCCTCCATTAGATCAACTAAATCCCCGAACATATCTTTTATTTCCTTTAGTGAGCCCCTAATTTCAAGTAGGGTGTTTAGAGGTAAAAGACTGCATCCTTCAGGTGGAATTGGGACTTGATTACATTGGGTATTGTTAGATGTGGTGATTTTCAGGTTCTTTAACTCCTTAACTATGCTCTCCTCAAATGTGGGCAGCTTTACTGGATATTCAGGTTGAGTATTACTGTTATTGTTGGAATGGCAGAGACTCATCAGGGTGCGACTACACTGGAAAGCCAAATCAGCACTGCAATTTGCAGTCGGTATTATGTTTAAAACCGCAGTCACTGATCAAACAGGGGTGGCGGGTTGATTTGGGAAATCATTGTTCATATTCTATGCAGTGTGCTTCACATTCTAGATCACAGCTCCCCTTCTTTCCTTCCTCTGGTCCCGCCTCTCTGTTGATCCTTTTATGGAGTGTAAATTTGGGAAATAATAATGACAATGACCCAGTGATAAAGTGATAGGGTCATCTAGTGCTAATCTCATATAAGAATATTTTTGTAAATAAAAAAATGGAGGGTGATCAGGAGAGAAGAAATAATGCAGGTGCATGTTACCCCAGTCCTGAACATCACACCCTAACTATCTAAGTCAATGATAAATCATCTACAGATACACACACCCAACTTTTTACGAACGTATCACAACAAATGAAAAAAAGCCTGGTTGAATCATTCTGGCTTTTAAAAAGGAGAACCCCCTCCAGTGGCATTGAAAAAAAGCGTTTAGCGAGCAAAAAGGGATGGAACAGTTTAAATCTTCCTTTGTGTCATGTGGCCGTTAAAAAACACTGCAAATTCTCCCATTATACGTATAAGCAGAGCAAATTTTGGGGTATTTGACCATGTAGTCACAGCCTAAGAGTCAACCAAGCACACAGTATCAGTAACGTTTCCTTGCGAGCTCCTGAATAAACTCAACAGGGAAGATGTCTGCCTGTATTTATCCCTGGCATTAGGGGTTAATATATGTTTGCAACTTTATAAAGCCAAGCAGAAATAAGCTACACCTTTACTAAAGACTCTCAAGCAAGGAACATTCCATAAAGAAAGAAAAAAAAGACTGGGACTGTATGTTCCTTTTCCTTCAGTAAAAGTGTGCGCATAGCAGTGTATCTGTTCCTTTAATAAGAGTGTGAGCGTATTTGCCAGTTCTCTTGCAAAAGAAAATACCAACTTCTGTTCAGCTCAATGCCCTTTTCAGGAAACCTTGCGCAGCAAAAGATGCCGTTTTGTACAGGCGTTATAATAATTCCATGCAGACTGGATTATTTTCTTCTGGGTAAAAAAAATCACAGAAACAAGAAATTCAGCAAGATTTCTTGAGGTGAGGGAAAAAAAATATTGTTCAGAAAAAATCTTGGTGTTAGGAAAAAGGATTTTATTTAAACACACACACACATCAGCAACAAGAAGCTATGGCATTTATATCTGTTGTACAAATACCAAAGTTCTGGAAGCATGACAATTAAAGTGCCATCAAACTGCTATAACTGTGTTGTGTAGATACCCTTTAAGCTTTCACGTGGGAGAGACCCAAGCATTGAATGAGATCTACCAGCTCTGAGTTCAGTGAACTCCCAAGGTCAACCCACAACATTTTGCAAACTAAAGTGTCTGCATATCACGTAGCACTAGTTCTACACAACATACCTCAGGACTAGAGGCATACATGTAGCATCATCCATAAAGCCATATGGCATCTAAGGCTCCGACTACATCTGACGAGAAGATGAAGTGCACATAGGCAGAGCCCTATAAACTACAGATCAGTCAGTCTGATACTGATGCCAAGCAAACATCTGGAACAAATATTATAGTCTTAGAACTGCAAACCTCTAAGGGACCCTATGGATTATGAAGCCCCTTGTCAAGAAGGTACATTCAAGAACCAAGCTCCTAACCTCTGCTCTGCGGCCAGAGACCTAAACCACTGCAGTATCCAGCAGTTCTTTAAAAACATTCTCAGAGCACCTTGAAACGGTATGGACCAGTTTCTACAAAATGCCAAGGTACGTCAGACAAGGACATAGTGATGGGAGGTGGCCACAGCTGTAGTGGAATGAAGGACACAATGGAATGGAGACAGGACTCAAGAATCAGGAAGACAGGTGGTGGTGACCAAATGCTGCAAGCATTTTGTTACCTTTGGGTGGCGCTCTACGGTTGGAAAGACCTTGCAATGTAAACCGCTTTCTAGCAAGAGCTGAGCGCTCAAGATTAAGGCTGGAGGAAGAATCGGCTAGGAGAAAGAGGCAGAGGGGAGAGAAAAATAAAGCAGAAGGGGGTCATCTCTTGCAGCGTATGAAAAAAAAAAAAAGCAAAGTTAGAGTTTGCAAGGGAAGAGGGTGGGAAGTGAAAGAATGAGAAACATTAGGACCTTGGGAGGCAGTTAACCAGGTAAGAAAGTGACCATTGCGGAGTCAAGGAAGCCAAACTAGGTAAGCCAAATTGATCCTTCTCAGGCTGAATCAATTTGACTAGCTAAGTTTCATCCAAGTACATAATGGAACAGCAGGACACGTCAGCAAGAAAACAACTGAAAAAATAAAAATAAAAAATCTAGTGCGCACAAAACCTTTCAACACCAGAAATATAAGCCATCAAACAAAATGGAACACATCACAAAATCATCAAGACCTGGTTTGGAAGCAGCAAACTCTTAAAATGAGGCCTCCTATACAACAGGAAGTGCTATGGTTATATGTGAACATTATGTTTACCATGAAGACATCATTCTTTCTAGGTGCAGGGCATCTGTGGAACTCCTTGCCACAGGATGTGGTGATGGCATCTGGCCTAGAGGCCTCTAAAAGGGGATTGGACCGATTCCTGGAGGAAAAGTCCATCACAGGTTACAAGCCATGATGGGGATGTATATAATCTCCAGGCTTAGAAGAAGGTACCTCCAAATGCCAGATGCAGGGGAGGGGGATCAGGAGAAAGGTCCCTCTTGTTCTCCCAGAGGCATCTGATGGGGCCACTATGAGATATGGGGAGCTGGACTAGATGGGCCCTTGGCCTGATCCTGCAGGGCTCTACTTATGTTCTTATCCCTCCATCTCTTTTCCCAAGTAAAGCAATCCCTTTGCAAGCTGTGAGTATGAAATAACATCTCTTTGCGTATTCTGTGCCATCAGGTTGTCTCCAATAGGGTTTTCAAGGTAAGTGAGATATTTAAAAAATGGTTTAATCATCCTACCCGCTAACAGTGACTCAAACCAAGGTCTCCTCAGTCCATCACCCTGTCCACTACACCACACTGTTTAGTTACCTTATAAATGAAAAAGTTACATTTCAGCTGCTAAGAAAAAATGATCTCAGGGAGACTTAAAGGAAATGCTATATTAAAAATGGATTTGGAAACCATACACTAGGCTTTGCTAAAGCTCAGGCTGGAAGAAAAATGTGTTGTCAGCTGGCAGTAGGAAAACAGGAAGTGCAACTACTGCAGTGGAGTTAAAATGAGATGTGCGACAGCTTGTGACTGACATGCCTTGCAACAGCTTGCACAAGTAGAATCAAAGCTTTTTTTATGCTTGTGCAAGGATAAGAAAGGGTTTCTACAAGCTCACAGAGGGAACTCTAGGCTTGCAAAATGATACCACGGCATACCACTTACTCTTACATCACTTATTGGTCTATTCCTTCGATTTATATCCTATCTATGTCCCACAAGTGGGATTCAAGGCAACCTAAAATAGTACAACCACATAGAATTAATAAAAGCTTAAACGCACACATGCAGTTGAAAAAAAAACCACGGCATTAGAAGAATAAGAGAAGCCCTTGTTCAGGTAAAAGCCCCTTCCATAGCAAGTGTGATCTGTTGCCAAAAGCCTCCCAAAACAAACTAGGAGTTTGCCTCCCAGTCGAAAAACAACATCCTACCCTTGGCTGGTTGGGGAACTCAAGGGCCTGAGATTTAGAGTCAATTAAGTAGTAGGTAAAATCAAGAATTAAAAACAACCAAATCTAAGAGGGGCATTAACGTTATAAGCTGAGAACAGCATATGTAGATGTAAACATTGCCTTGGACTGTTAGTGGAAGAAGACCAAATCCATCCATAAAGACCACCCTGTCTGTCATGTCTTCTTCATTCATTCATTCATTCAAGGCGCAAGGGTATTTGGAACAGTTGGGGGAGATCTTAAAATGCCCTGAGCTTAGCCTTAAATAAACAGGTTTAAAAAAAGGACAAGGGAAACCATGATGGACACATTCGCTTCAGGGCTACGGTAGCCTGCTCGGTGCTTGAGACTTGGGCGTTTATGTCTAGGCTGGAGGTGCAGGGAGGCAGGGCACCATACATTTTGTTCCCTCGGGTGTAGCAACAAATGTCAGCCCCTGCCTCCACAACTCAAAGCGTATGGGAACCAAAGACAACTGATTTCTTTTAATACCTGAGAAAGTACCACATGGGCCTGCCCAGACTGGCCATTTGAAGTGTGGGGTGGATCGGGTTACAAAGGGTCTGTTGATGTGCCATTTGGCATTCTCCTCCTGTCCAAATAACAAATGGCCCCTTCAAGCTTGATCAGCTCTCAATTAAGTGCTTCTCCTGATCATTTGCAGAGGATCAAGGGAAGTGAAATTATTTTTTAATGTTGCTCCTCTCTTTCTCCGCCATTGCCATTCCATTTTCTCTCTTTCCTCTCCCGGCTTCTCTTCCCTCATTCTTCTCCCACTTTCTCTCTTCTCTTTTAGAATCTGCAGCAATAATGGCAGAGGTTGCTGGAGGCTGCTATCTCCTGGCCAAACAAGAAGTGTGCCAAAAAGAATGCATGCCCTACCACCGGGCCAGAAAGGTGTGCAACGGCTCTTAAAGGGGAAGGATGGATCATTCTAAGTAGAAACACTTGTGGATGAGGTCTTTTTCCCCAATCTAAACCATGTCATCAGCAATTCATATACATGTCATCAGCAATCCATATACTACATCTATATGCTAGTGTGGACAGGCGCAGAAACAGCATTTCTTCTGACTGGCAGTCAAAATTAAAATAGGAACTACATCTATATGCTAGTGTAGACAGGTGCAGAAACAGTATTTCCTCTGACTGGCAGTCAAAATTAAAATAGGAAAAGGAGATAAATAACAAAGGAATCCAAAACCTGCTGGTCAAGGGGCTGCTTCTTGCTGCCTGTCTTTAAGATAGTAAGAATACCAGTCTGGAACTTCCCTCTGCAGTTCAGAATATGTGTGATTATTCTACAGGAGCACCTTCCATCTGCAGCCACCTTACTGATTCTACTTTCCTAGCGTCAAAACACACATTCAGAAGAATGTGTCTTTCCTGTTCTAACAACATTTTCTCCGCAGCAATGTGACCTGCTTTCGTATGCGTGGCTCTTGACTGAGACATGCAAAGGAAGCTGTTTACATTCCAGGGATAATCCAGATGACACACACACTTCTCTCTTTAATGTGTTTTCACAATTACACTTTCTTTTGCCACTTGAGGGAGCACTCTTCCAGATCCTGATACCTCTGGACATCTACTTTTGCCTTGCATTATTAACCTTTAGAAAGTTGGTGCAGGAACAATAAGGGGATCTTCTGGCACTTTGAAAATTAACCCATTTCGTGTTGCGTGATTTTTGTGTGAACTCCAGCCCATTTCTTCAGATACCATCGGTGGAAGCTTATGCCCAATAAAATTTGTGGTCCTTTAAAAGCTAATAAGATTCTTGCTCATTTTTAATTAGACAGACAAGAAACTAAAATAGCCACTCCTCTGGAAATACCTTTAGAAAGAAGTAAGTGAGGCCACATACGCTATGAAGGGATATCAGAGGCATAATTTTTTTACATAATTAGGTGGCTGCTATTCACCTTTGACACATACAGATAATATAATTTTTTTTAAAAAAACTACAACTCCCAAAATACTTTTAAAATATACTTCTTTGTTTCGCAGCCTTCTTGAAATTGACCAGACTTGCTGAGATTCTCCCCATCCTCCCAAATACAGTAAATGGCTTTGCCCTGAAATCTGAGATGGTGTCACCTGGCAGTACTGTACCATCTTACAAGACTCCTTTAATAGTTAAGTAAGTTTTTGGTCAGAACTTGGAAATGTTACTTTGTGAACTGCAATTCCCAGAACCTCCAGCTAACACAACCTTGAGACTTACCAGGACCCATACTGGAACCCCTGGAATAGAAGGCAACAAAACCAAACAAAAACCCATTGGAAGTGGTTGGAAGACCACTTTCAGTTTAGTGAACTTTTATTTAAAGTTAAAAAGGTGTGCTGTGAGCCTGTGTGTTTAAATAGTGAATCATCATTCATTGGAGGCTGATTTACTTGTTCTCCCCCCACACACACACGCACACACCCCAAATTTTGGGCATGGGGATATGGAGGTCAAGACTGGCAGGCAAATCTGTGAACTGTGCCTAAAGTGAACACACAAGATGTATCACGTGCAGTTGTGAAAGCGTTGGAAGAATTACAGACTGCCTCTCTTGTCACTGTGGTGTTTATAGACTTTCTGGAATACACGACATGGCAAAACTTCCAAAACCTCAAATAGCTGAAACCAAAGGTTTTCCAAATGCAGGACATACAGACTCATAAACAACCTAAGGCAGTAGCATGTGTCTCTCTGAATAGAGAAAATACCGTCTTGCATCCCTCGTTGTCCCACAGAACAATGAGGTGAGATGCCAAGCAACCACTGCATGTAAGGAGACAGGAGTGACTGAAATGGAAAGAGAAAGGGAACCCTAATCTTACGTTTGATTCTCACTCCACTTTGCTTGATTTGCCAGTCAAGGGCTCAACAGGTCAACGAACTGTTCCAAGAGATCCTCTCCTCCTATCTCTTATTTCTAACTGGTAAACTTTAGACAATGTAGACTATATGTTTTCTGACTCATCCTTGCTGGTCATAAACATCCAAGCGAGAAGTGTTCCATTTCCAGTTCATAGAAACATAGAAGAGTAAAGTTGGAAGGGGCCTATGAGGCCATCAAATCCAACGCCGTTTGATACAAATGAGATTGTTGTCTAAGTTCCTCTTGAATGCCCCCAGTGTTGGAGCAATAATCACTTCCTGAGGTAATTCGTTCTACTGTTGTACTGCTCCAACAGTTAGGATGTTTTTCTTGATATTCAACCGAAATCTAGCTTCCTGTAACTTGAACCCATTGCTGTATGTCCTACATTCTGGGATGATTGAGAACAGATCCTGCCCCTCCTCTGAATTTCATGTATTTGAAAAGTGCTGT